GTCCAGTAGAGGTGCTCCTCTCTTGACAAAGATGATGCACTAGGTCGATTCCCCATCTCGAGGCGCTTCTCGGGTGGAGGAGACACCTAGTGAATATTACTTTGCACTAGCTTCGCGTCGGGCATGAATATTGGAACCGAATCCAATATCTAGCTTCTTCCCGATTGCGAATAATAATCGACCTAGCGTGCACGACCCTAGTATCCGTCCGTACCGTTGTCTAGGGGGTAAATTCTAGAAAGTACTCCACGTGAAGTAATATGCGTCGTCCTGACCAACATAATCGCGAACGTGGTAAATATGTTTAAATCCGCTTTATTCTGGTTTAATGACGCGAGCGCGATCGGAGCTCAGCGAACGCTCCTCTAGAATAGCTAGTTTTTTATCGTTATGTTTTCTAGAGATTAGTATCTTATTTGCATTGTATAGATTCTTTTGTTCTTTATTATTTTATGTAATACTTCATTTTCGTATATTTTATTGTTCTTTTATTTTAACAATATATTGTCTTTCGAAGGTTTAAATAAAGACTCGTCAATGACTACACCTGTCCTCTACATCATAGTAAGAAATAGTTCCGAAATTAATCGAAACATAGATGGCGCTTCACGCCATCTACCGAGATTTAAAGTAACTAGTCAAAATAGGTGCCCGGACTCCATTCGGCGAGCAAATCCTTTGTCAAATAAATTCAGATCATTACAACATTTTAGACAGAATTTCAATCTTGTGTTCCATGAGTTTTCCGCGAATTTCGTGGAGCATTCGCATCACATACAATCCTCCAGGGTTATTACAATTTTTCCACAAATCATATATGTGAACACTAATTTAAATTGCTTAAAATACGCTTGAACCAATCCGCCAAGGAAGCTCATACTTTTACCGCGAATTACTTATCAATAATAAGAACCGGTGCTACATGTCAATGCACAATGCTGAATATAATGCAAAATTGAACTACACGTATAGAAACAGGATGGTGGATCTTTCCACTAAATATGTCGAAGTGTATAAGATTAATTCACAATGATAAGCATGCCTCTTTAACAATCAGTTAAGTTCGCATTGCTCTTTTGAATGTTCAGATTTTTCAGTTTGAAACATTTTTGGTTAAAATTGCCATCAAATATGGCTGTATCTATTCCAATGATTTTGTATGGTAAGCATACAAATTATTTTAACAGTGCTGACATTAGACTATAATAACAGCAGATCCTATTTTCTAGACAATTATAACATTTTTAAATTTCACATTAGTATAAACAAACAAAAATATACAATGTCTATTTTGAAAAACTGACATCGGATTTGTAATCAGTGACCCCAAAAACCTTCGAGTAAACAATTTAATCAAAATTTAAGACAGTCTTTAAAGAAATGAAAAATTTATTAGGGGTTGTTCACAAAATACATAACGCTTTTTTTTGAAATTTCAACCCTCACTCCCCCATGTAACGCTCAGTTATATACATTAGCGCCATTTTTTTGGCTGTCCGTAACATATAGCTTGACCCACCCCTCCCCTCTGGAAGCGTTACGTATTTTGTGAACAGCCCTTTATAACTTATATTATTTATTAACATTAATTTGTTTAAAACATAAAAATTTTGACTTGTGTAGTTTTTTGCCATTGAGGGAGTACCACAGCATTGTTTTTAAACAGTTTTTACCCTGTGCTCCTCACTTATGGTTTCAGATGATCGGTTTTTTTAAAAATTGCTACTTTTGTTAAACTTTTCAATAAACAAATTAATTTAAAAATTAAAAATCAGGCTCGACAAATCTCTTCTAAATTTTATAATCTTTTATTTAAAAAATTTTAATTAAATCGTTTCAAAAATGAAGACTCTGGACGTTTTTGAACAGTAAATTCCATTTTCCTCCCACATGGGATTTCATGTAGATTTTAAAATATCAACTTTAATGATCTGGTTTTTATTTGCCTAAGGATTTGCTCACCGGATGGAGTTCGGGTACATATTTTCTCTGGCGGATCTCGAAATCGGAATGTACGCTGAATTCGTTGTACATTCGTAACACATTGGTTAAACATTTAGTTGGAGTGAAAATTGTGTAGAAACTGTGGAAAAGTGTAATTGAATTGAATAATAAAAGTATTTAGTGATAGATTTGTGCTGTATTTGTGATAAATTAACGTGTTATTATTAAATAAATAAAGTTTAAAGTGTAAAATGTTCGCGTAAGTGAGTTTGACAGGCTAGGGAATTTTGTAGTGACATCCAAATTGATAGTCGATAAAGAAGTTGAGCCGCCGACTTTGCACGGTAGGTGGCAGCATTCATACTTTCTCCTTTTTAAAAATTCTCTTTTTCAATTGTAAATAGAAAAATTAATTAATTAATAAGTTATATAGTTTCTATGTTGTCATTTTTTTAACAATTTAATTTTTGAAGATTGTTTAATGAGATAAATTAAACTTGTATAAAGTTTTTATCTTTCTTTATTTTATTATTATTTATTTTTAATATAAATGTAATTAAAAGAAAAGATTTATTTAAAAGTATTTAAAAAACAACAATTTGCATCGATTATACAAGTTTAATTTATCTCATTAAACAATCTTCAAAAATTCAATTGTTAAAAAAATGACAACATAGAAACTATATAACTTATTAATTAATTAATTTTTCTATTTACAATTGAAAAAGAGAATTTTTAAAAAGGAGAAAGTATAAATGCTGCCACCTACCATGCAAAGTCGGCGGCTCAACTTCTTTATCGACTATCAATTTGGATGTCACTACAAAATTCCCTAGCCTGTCAAACTCACTTACGCGAACATTTTACACTTTAAACTTTATTTATTTAATAATAACACGTTAATTTATCACAAATACAGCACAAGTCTATCACTAAATACTTTTATTATTCAATTCAATTACACTTTTCCACAGTTTCCACTCAGTTTCTACACAATTTTCACTCCAACTAAATGTTTAACCAATGAGTAACGAATGTACAACGAATTTAGCGTACATTCCGATTTCGAGATCCGCCAGGGTTGACTAGTATCTGTAATTCTCGATAGATGGCGTAAAGCGCCATTTATGTTTCGTTAAACTTTGGAACTATTTCTTACTATGATCTAGAGTAGAGGCGTAGTTATTAACGAGTCTTTATTTAAAACCTTCGAAAGAGAATATATTGTTTAAAGGAAAGAATAATAAAATATACAAAAATAAATTATTACATAAAATAATAAATGAGTCGGAAGAAGACTGAGGAAAAATGTGCGAGACGAAAGGTATATCACTCACAGCCAGGTGACAGTGAGTGGTAAGGGAAGAGAGTGACACGACTAGTTACGCTGTCTACGATACTCTATCGTTACACAACCTAAGATTTCACATGGATTTATATATAGGAAACAATATAGGATCTCATGTGGGAATTTTTAATTGAAAATCAAATAATATTACTGTAATTCATCTGAAAAGAAAAAAATCTTAGCTTTTCAATACACCTTCTGAGTTAGAATCTCACCTTTATACACGGAGAGAAATCTGGTGCGATTTACGCATGAGCATGTCCATAGGAATATAGCATGGACACTTCCAAGCAAAAACCATAAGATTCCATCTGAATATCAGGTGAGACTCATACAATAATACCTCACTCACTTAGGATTTTTGCTTGAAAGCGTCTGTTACTATATTCCTAAGGACATGCTCATGCGTAAATCGCACCAGATTTCTCTCCGTGTAATAATATTCAAGACTGATCTCAACTGTGAAAAAAATCTTGGTATGACCGAAGATAGAATTTCGTTAAGAGAACTTTTAAACTATTCTAATAATTAAAAGAAACTTTGATTAAATGTTTTCAATAACTATTAAAAACTATTTACCATTTTTAAATTTAAAAAAACCTCTTTACAGTTTTAATTTTTCATAAAGTACTAAAAATATTCTTTCTACACCAAAAAAGTCCACGTTGACAGTTATAAGAGGGCGGGGAGTTCGCCAAAAGTCCACGATTGTCCACGATGGGGGTCAAAAAATGTTTAAAAACTGTCCACGTAGTATAAGGACGATTAATCTCACATGAGTTAATGAGTTAATAAAACTTCCTTACTTATTGACGAGTTACTACATGAATTTATCATAAAGCCTCATATGAAAAATTACGGAATTATTTCTGAAAATTCTTAGCTAAGAAAGATGAAAAAAATTTTATTCTGTTTCTCCTTTCATCACTCACATTTTTTTGTAAACACACGCGTAGATATAACTATTACGCCACAGGTCACAATTTATATATAGCTATCAAATACAAGCAGAAAATTAATTTTAAAGAACATTTGACTGCAGGCGGGCTCAAACTCTCTTCTCTAGGTACAGAAATCGGATGTGTATCCTGTGAGCTAAAAGAGGTACATAACTTCTTTTTTTTAGTAGAAATCTATAAGAAACTGCATGCCGAGTGTATACACACTCATACACAGTGGCAATGGTTAACTGCGTATCAGAGTCAATTTCGAGTTCCGTAATTTTTCAGGTTCAAATCCTGAAGTGTTCTATAGCGAGCAAAATGAAAAGTTATGCATGTAAATAGAAATATTTATTCGAACTTTTCAGAAGAAACTACTAAATTTATTTGAAGAATGTACTGAAAAAAGATGCAGAATTATTTTGAGATTTTTCTGAAATTTTTCGGACTTTCAATTGAACATTCATGAATATCTCTGAATTTTTTCCTCGTTTTCAGAGTTACTGAATTATTTCAGAACTTTTTCTTTCCGTGTACTGTTTATATTTCACCAAAATTTTAATCTGCTCCCCCCTTTACAGTTTTAATAAAAAATAATAATAATTTATGGGTGAAGTACTTACCCATAGTACTAAATGTTATGCAAATTGCATGTCGATATAAGAAATTATATTTTTTAATTGGATCACTTCAGAAATTTTACCTCTTATAAACCTATGACTGTCCGAATTTGTATTTACTTTATGAAATAAATGTGTTATTTGCAGGGAAATTAGAGAATGTCTCAAGTTGGATCACGAACATAAAGATTGCTTTCCGTTTTATAAAAAAATAAAAAAGATTTCAACATTATTAAACAAAGCGAAAAATGCACAAGAAGTAAACGACAATGAGGATTGTATTAATTTAGCTAATCGAGTACTTAAGGAGGAATCTAAAGTGCTGGATGTACGATTTTTGGCTGTAAATTTACTCTGTATATGTTATACTGCTGATAACAAAGTTAATAAAGCAATTTCAAGCTGTGATGAAGCGTATAAAATACGAAAAGAAGCTGAAATTCTTTGTAACAGAGCAGAAGCTTACCTTGCTGGGGAAATGTATGATGATGGTAAGTGTTTTATTTTCAGAAAAAATGAAACTTCCTTATATATTTTATTCTTAGAAGTTTTCAAGCAGTTAAGCTGACAACATTATGTTTTGGGAATTTATAATGAAATTAGATTTGCATCGAAGAACATAGTTACCAAAAACAGACTTTTCGAATTTGAAATGAGGGGCTGATAGTAAAAATGGTTTAAAAAAACATTGGGAGCAAAAGTGGGATAAGTGACTTGGGAGCAAAAACGGGTTAAAATGATTCGTGTAATTTATTGATAAATTCATTATATTATCGATTAAAAAATATTAATTATAATAAAATATGCATTTTTTCCTATTGTTAATATTTTTTAATCGTTAATATAATGAATTTATCAATAAATTACACGAATCATTTTAACCCGTTTTTGCTCCCAAGTCACTTATCCCACTTTTGCTCCCAATGTTATTTTAAACCATTTTTACTATCAGCCCCTCAAATATGTTTATACATAATAATTTATTGCAGCCAGGTGGTGCAAAAACATTCGCGGAATTTTATTTTTTCAATTGAGGGCCCCGATCAAATAACTCGACCGACGCGCAGACGATCGCTCTAATGGTAGGCAAGACCGATCAAAAGTGAAAAAAAATTAGAAATTAAAATTTTTAAATGTACTACCATGTAGAGAACCGAAACGCGCAAGTTTTTTGTTTTTGCTTCCTCATGAGGAAGCTTTGCATTCGTGACGTTTTTCGATTTTTTAAAATTGGGTTATATGGACTCATTTTCATCTAGAAATAATATATATGAAGTCCTGAGCAAATGTCCAGATGTATGCATGTGTGTGTATGTCACAAAATATTGTGTACAAATTATCTCAGAAACGTTTTAACGGATTGTCCTGAAATTTTGTATGCTTATTGTAATCATTAATACCTAAAATCTGACACAAGGATTTCCGAATATATTCACAACATTTTATTTTTTACAATTTTTTCAAAATTTAAAAAAAATTTTTTTGTAAATTTAATTTGTTTAGTAAGAAAACTTATTTCTTGCATTAAAACGAGTCGATTAGCCTATATAAAGTTCATATTTTACTGAAATCTATAGATTAAATCATTTTCTTGAATTTTTGAAAATAATCGTTTTTTGTATTTTTTGAAATAACTTTTTCTGATATAAAAATTTTAATTAATTCTTGTCAAAATTGTATTCCTGGCATAAAAATGAATCGATTGAGGTATACAAAGTTTATATTTTACTAATATTTATAAAAGTGATTGCTATTTTAATTGTAATCCTTCTTTTAATCTTGAATATTAGTGTATCATGATGAGGAAGCTAAATGGTCATGAAATGAACACCTAGTTGAAATTTTTTTATAGGATTATTATTTTTAATAATAATGAATTTTCACTAATAAAATAAGCTTTATTATGACTTGTAATATCATTTTCAACCAGTGGTTTCAGTATGTCGTGATTTAAGTACTGCTCATTAGTAACTTCAGGTATCAAATCCATTTTCTTGCTCAAATGAATAATTTTCATTAGAAGAATCAATACTTTGCTCTACAATCATTGGACTGTCAGCGTCGTCAAGAGGGTTTTGAATTGAATTAATCGTATGATTAAAGTGTTCAAATTCCGGAAATAATATTACCAAGTTATTTTTTAAAACCTCCATATTCTTTGCAATAGGTCTATCCACTCTGTCACAATCCCCTCCCTATAACCGGAACTACCCCTAGTAGGACCGTAAACAACAAAACAAAAAAAATAATAGATAAAAAAATGTGATTCTTACCAATTCAAGTCCAACCGAGGTCGGCTCCTTCCACTACCCTCTGGCCACAGTTCAACGGTTACATGCCTCTTTGTTCACTGTCCATCCTCTCCTTCTCTGGCCTAACTCCTCCCTTCTCTCTGGCCAAGTACTCCTGTTCTACTTCTCCAACTTCTTCTTTCTCTCCTCCAGAAATTGGTTGAATGCCCTATCTATTGTTGAGGCTGTCAGCCCCGCTAGGGCTCTAGTGATCTCCAAGATATTCACAATCAGACCTTCGTTGTTAATTTTCTCCTCCTCCACTTTTTTGTTTGTTTGTTCACCCCAATCGACCACCTCAAGTTCCCGAAGATCACCCCTGAGGTTTTTTATTTTCAGTGGTGCCCTTTTTATCCTCGTCTCTTTTGTCCTTCTCTCTTCTACTCTCTCTGGCCATTGGGTTCTGGTCTTTCGAGGGACATCCGACTGGTGAACTCGACTGGCTTGGGCAGTCGGCTGGACTTTCAGCATAGTTCCAACATGCTTCTTGGGAAGTTCTCGTTGAGTTGGTAGTCCGTGATGCGGGGAGTGTGAGCGCGCTACACTCAGAGTCGATACCGTACTTTCGAGATCCTCCTTTCTCAGCACTGGTTTTTGTCTGGCCGAAATGGCCTCCTTTTGTCGACGTTTTAAGTTTAATTGCTCCCTTTTCGGATATACAGATCCGTGACGGAGGAAGCTTTCTAACTCATGCTCAACTAGACGGCTCTCATAAGCCTCATCACTCTCCCCTTTTATTTCCTCCGTTGGACCACTATCTTTGTTTGGTTTCTTTTCGGAACGGATGCACTGAATTGTTGTTTCTTGAATACATCAATTTCTACGAAATCCTTACGTATGCTCACATCTCTCTCTAGCCCCTCTATAGTGGTCTCGTTTTGTTTGACCGGTTCCAGAGGGCTGGGAAGCATATCGTTCTTATGTGGGATTATCAACAAGGACGCCATTGAAAATCTCTTTCTGGTCTATGAGCAGACTGGCTTCGACTCCTCGTTATTCGTCCCTGGCCTTTTGAGTCTACCCCAAAGTCTGAGGATGAGCGGTGCCGGTTCCTCGCAGCCCCTCTATCTCCAAACCGATTGTACGGCATTATTCTCTGGCTTCTCCTTCTGCTTCTCTGGCCTCTCCGCTCTCTGTCACGTCTCTCTGCAAACCAATAACACAGGCCTGCAAATTTTGGGTCACTTCCTCCAAAGAAAGGGGAAGGTGATTTTTATAGGTTTTTTGACGTATAATACGAATCCTACCTCCAAAATGGCCCATCACGTCAGGATTTTTTGTAATATTGGCTTATATGACTAAAAATGGCCATTTTGACCATTTTTGGGAATTTTTTGTGGCTAACCAAATTTTTTTTTCATTTTGCGAAATTGTATCGTATAGTACTACATCTAAGCTTTAAAACCATTTTTAAAAATCGCTCTACGATTTTTAAAAAAAAGTTATGCAGTTTTGAAATTTTTTTATTTAGGCAAAAATGTATATATAAAACTGTAAAGGCTGAGGTAAATAAGAAACGGGCTAGCAGTAAAATAATAATATAATTTTCATCTAAAACACATATAATCATTTCTTATGTTGCAAATTAATAACATAAAAAATTGTTTAAACTATTATTTTTTTAAAAAATTTGTCAAAAATTTGTTGTCAAATTCTGACTTGTATGAATAAACCCCAAATTTCATTTACCATAAATATTATTTGCCATAAAACTCATATAACATAAATTCCATTTGACATAAATTTTATTTAATATGAATTTCATTTGACATAAAATTCAAATGTTATATATCTCATTTGACATAGAACTTTGATTTCATTTCTACCTTGAAAACAAATCTTGAAACACGATCAAGTGTTTACACCTACTGTTACTAGGTGGAAACTCCATAGTGTCCGCTATTACTACAGACCATGGTCTTTCGACAATCCTCTAGCCCATCAATCTAACTGGTCCGACTTAAGAGACTTTGTATAGTTAACATTGCATACAGTGGGTCACGAACTTATGGACATCATTCCATATGCCTGGCCAATAATACTCTCGCGCCACACGGTCATTGGTCTTCTGTTTACCTTGATGACCAGCTGACGCTTACACAACGGCATCCTCTAAGACTCTCTCTCTCTATACTCCTCTGGTTCGACCAATTTCCACGCGTCTTCGTCTCCGACTATCGGCATTAGAAGTGGTAACCTGGACAATGCATCAGGGACGTGATATTGCGCACCCTTTCTGTGAATAATATCAAAGTCTTATTGTTGCATCTCCAGGCCCCATCTTGCTAACCTCTTGTTGTTCTTCTTCCCAATCACACTTTCGGCCTTTATGCAATATTCTTACTAATGGTATCTTGATATCGCTGTCGACTCGACTGACTCGGTCTACTTTGGGTCTGGCCTTAGTCCTTCACTGTCCCAAAGGTATCCTAGATAGGTGACTCTTGAGCATTTAAACTCGCACTTGTCTGGATTCACTACCAATCCGACCCCGTTGAATAGTGCTTCATACGATTGATCTCCAATGGACATCTTGAAGAAATACCTATTTTCTGTCCTTGCTCCATTTACTTTCTCACTCGGGTCAGCTGTGCCCGTCACAGCCTCTCCCCTCCCCTGGACTATAGGTACTGGGGTCGCTCCTGTACTTTAGTCCCACACTTCCTACTCTCTGGCCTCTGATGGAGTGAGTTCTTCTCACTCGATCTGCCATTATCTATTTCACGCTCTATCTCTGTTTTTACCCAACTACAACTCGCACCGTTGTTAATTGGGAATTCTCTCATCTCCATTTCTCTTCTCTCTATTTTCCAGTCGAAGAGTGGGGGGTACAAGGTGGTTTTGCGCCCCCATGAACTGTTTCCCAAGGCTGTTCGAAGTGTTAAGCAATTTGTGCACGTAAGGAAATTTATTTCGCCATAGTTACAGATTCTATCGTGTTGGGTGCAGTCATGACCGATGATGTCGCTGTACTCATTTGTGCTAACGAGGTGGTAGGGGAAACCGTAGTTAAGCTTGTAGTTGTCACCATTGGTGATCGTGACGTCACGTGATTTGTAATCTTTACCGCAAATTCCCGACCACGTTTTTACCACTTTCAAATTTAATCAAAAAAAATATTGGTGAATTTGGACATTATTCTTTTACAATAATTTTATCACATAAAAAAAACTAGCTTGATTCTAACACTCGCGAAAAAT